TTTTTTTTTTTTTTTTTTTTGTTGTTGTTGTTATTTGTTTTTGTTTTTTCCACCTTTTTCATAAGAGGAAACACTTTGCAGAAAAGCAAATGCCACATTTAAATTGAGCAATTCTAAATTCTAAACTGAAGGTAATATTTCCCCCCAGTTTTTCAGAGAAATAAATACATGATGGAAAGAAAAGTAGAGAATAGTTTTACTTTGATTAAGAATTCACAGTGGAAAATGTTAACTACTAGTAAATACAATTTTCAGCTTGCAGACTATTTCTGTACTCCTAACCACCCCGCATACTCATGAAGTAAAACTCTCAGTTCTTTTTTTAAAATAGAAGCAAAGACACCTGTGTTTCTTTCCCTCCACCATTCTTTTTTCTTTTTATTTTATTTCATTTTATTTTTGCAACCTATTCTCATTTAAAGGTCACATAGAATGGATTAGTTCTGTTTCAAAAGTGAGAAGCTAAATCTTTCCATTTATTGTGGTGGCTGGACTCAGCGTCTTTCCTCTTCAACCAGAATGCTTTCGCTAGGAGATAGTATTGTATGAAATTGTTTGGGGTGAATAAGAATCTTTTCTTTACTATGCAAAATAATTTGTCTTTTTAAATTCGTCCTATTGATAGCCTTCTGTCATAAGAAAGCTTATTTTCCGTTTTTGTGCATGTATACGCTAAGCACAGGCAAAGATGATGATTCATGCACCGTTGCAGGTACCTTCCCCAAAGTGGAACATACTAGTAAAATAACGTTAAACAGCAGAAACAATACGTGTGTACCTTTTTCCCACACTCAGCAATGGCACAAGTTTCTTGCCCTTTCGGTCTTCAGACTCATGTTCATAATGGAGCTTTTTAAGGGACACTTGGCCTCTTGCAAAAAAGTAGAGCATTTTGCACATTCCACGGTTTGGCAAAGTCAGAACTGGTTATTTTCTCTAGACCGGTATCAAGTTCTTCTCAGGCATATGATTTCACTTGAAGTCCTGCCCAGGAATCCTTCAAAGTGAACGTTTGTCCCGCTCTCATGATGTCAGGCGGTTTTCCCTGCATCTGTAATTTGAAGAAAAACAAACAAACCTGCGGGGAACAAACGCCACGGAAACCCAAACAGAACTCCGTGGGGAGCGAGGATCTCACCTGCGGCGGGCGCGGGAGAGAAGCACCGGCCCAGGCTCCCCTGCGTGGGTGGCGGGCCGGGCCCGAACGGTGGGGAGAGTGACGACGGCCGTGCTCCCCTCGCACGCCGCGAACTGCCCCGGCCCCGCGTCTGGCCGCTGTTCCGAGGCGGCGGCGCCAAGTGTCAGCGGTAGCAAGGGGAGCAGCAGCAACAGACTCAGGCAAAGGCCCAACCTCAGATTTCCAGACAGGCCCGCATTAGCGACAAAAGGGTGGGGAGGAGGATCCCCAGGGTTCACTTTTCCAGAATTTTCTGCTCATGTGTCCTCAAGAGCGCCCCACCCCCAGCACCAGTGAAAGTGGAAGGAGAAATCGGTTTCTTCATAATTTATCAAAGCCAGCAACCCCACCATTTCTCAGAAACATCCTAACTCTTCTTTGCAAACTGGGCCCTCGAAAATGCTAACAGAAGGATTATTAATTATCCTTATTTACTGAACAGCAGAAGATAGACTTTGTACATAGGGTATGGGATACACTTTACATTCGCTTTTGTCTCAAGGCCCCAGGACGTGAGCCCACTTAATGTTCTTAGCAAATCAAAGCACGTGTCCTTTGAAGAAGGTGTGTAATTGGAGTTTAAGGCATGTATGGAATTCCCAGATGTCTATAAAGTAAGAAGGAGCATGTGGCAGGTCACTGGAAGGTGGGGCAGGTTAAAATCACTGGCACAAACGTCCCCCCATTTATATTCTCCTCTGTTATAAGGGCCACAGCGATAAGCCTTTGGGGAAGGTTAGGAGGTGATCATAATGAATATTCAGCTTCTCTTATCAGAGTCATAGTAACCATGGTAAAGAGCACATGGTCAGAAAACCTCAAAGAAAACACTCAATTACAGCCGGGATTTCGTGGGCGTCCTGCAATCAGATCGTTTGGGGTTTGCTGCAGCAAGGGCCTCCAACGGCCTTCTTTCTTGTTTACGTGGACTATTTTCTTTTCCTTTTTCTTCCCTCGCGAGTTTGTGGATGTGCCATTGTACTTCTGCATGCGATTGAGGTTGAAGCCAGAGGAACAAAATTCCAGATTAGTAAAAGAAAAAAAATTCTAACAGTATTCATTCCAGAAGGCAGCCTTCTTGGGGGAGGGGAGATTGTGAAGGAGAGAAATTAAATTTCTGTAAAACATGCAGTTTAAACATTTACCAGATAGAAAACTCAATGAAAAGACAACCATCCAAATCAGCTGCTCTGTTTTCTCCTTTCACTAAGAAATGTACACATGTGTAAGTGACTGTTGAACCTAACCGTGAGTTTGAGTGTTGCTGATTAGGCAGCTTTTGTTTTGTTTCTGGTCTGGAGCCGGAACTAAAAGATGACTTTGCTCCTTGCGTTCAAGATGCTACCCTTATTTACCTGCACAGTCCAGCCACGGGCGGGAGACATAAGGACTGTAAGGATCAGGGGCCTGCCAAAGAAACTGGCCCTGACAAAGACTGGCACTGGGAAGGGGTGATGTTGCGGGGAACTGGGGTTGGGGGCCAGAGCGAGGGGGATCGGAACAAAGAACGCCACAGACGCAGCCACTGAGGCAGGGGGAGGAGAAAAGGGAAGCCGGCGGGGGAGGGGGAGGGGAGAGGAGGGGGGTGGCAAGTGAAAAGTTAAGCAGGTACCTGAAGGAAATGTGTCTTGCCCAGATGTTAGGGCTTTTATGAAATGTCACGTGAAGAGAACAGATGTACAAC